AGAAGCACAAATTTATTGTTAAATGGAATCCAAAGGGAGTTTTTTGTTGGATCCAGTAAATTGTATATTACTTTACCCAGCTGGATACAACCTCTTTCTATAGGACCCATCTGAAATTATATTATTATATTCTCACACTAGCTGAGTACTTTTCACCTAGTAGTTCTCCTCCACTTATCTACACTGATCTGAATTTTATATATAGTGTATATTATCTTCGAGTCGCTCTTATTCGATATAAATAATAAAAATTGATGCAAGGCTTGTTTTAATTAATTATCTACTGTATCTGGGTAGCAGTTCAGTCTTAATAAACGCAACATAGATAAATCTTCAAAAATTTTGCCAGAGAAATCGGCAAAGGTTTTTGTTCGCTGTTGCTCCTGTTGCTGTTGTTGTTGTTGTTGCTATTGCAGTGAGGCATTTAATTGATTGATTGCCGTTCGTCTGTGTCTGCATCGATTCGGACTGACCAGATGTCACGCCCACCGTAGCTCAACCCAAAGCCACGTTTCATAACCCATGGATTTTTCCCTCTGACTGTTGTTATCAAATCGACTTCATGGACCCACATAACAGCCGCTGTTGTAGTTGCTGTTGTTGTTGTTGTTGCTGCTGCTATTTCTGTTGTTACTGCCAATTAGTGTCGGCGCGTCATGACTGTGTGAGTGTGTATATGTCTGTGTGTGTGTGTGTAGGTGTAGGTGCGTCATCAATTAATTTTTGTATTGTTGTTTTCCTTTTTTTGGCACAAAATTTTGCATTTTCTGGTAGCTCGTGACGTTAGAAAGAGTAGCAGGATTTTAGGGTAACATAGGCCCCACTTTGGTCAGCGTTATGTGGCACATCGCCCGTGCTTCCAGAGGTAACCATGTTGACTGATTGGTTTTTCGATTCAATTGTTTGCTTGCTTTTGGCCAGCTATGTATGTATGTGCTCCACGACTAACTTTTGTTATGGAAAGCTCCCGCATTTATATAACTCTGCATGCTGTCATGCGAGTGTTATGTATGCGTGTGGCCTGTTATTAAATCAATCTCATAGTTGTCACAAATGTGATTTAGACATTTTGCACATGACTTTGCTTCAAATGAACTAATTAAATTAAATTCAATCTTTTTCATATACATACGAGGAAGATAAATTATATTTGATACCCTGAAAACATCTAATATTGGAGTTCAGGGCATAGGAGTTTTGTTAATATGTATGTAACTGGCACAAGGAGACGTTGGCAAAAGCCATCATAAAAGGAATCTGAAATGTCTACTCAACTCCATATAATATACGCAGTACGATCGATGCTTATCAACAGACAGGGAGATGTCAACATCCTTGAAGGAAAAGGCCTTTGGCTACCTGACCCCCCTTCTCCAACAAAAATAACAGTTGAGCAGATCACGAGATCATATACAAGCCTTCAGCTTAATTAGTTTCAGCGACAATCGATTAGAGGGAGATTCGATTGACGTTCGCTCAAATGAGTTTTAGTATGTGAGCAAATCACTCATAAAGTCAATTCAAACGATCCTCACATTCATATTCGTATGCGAGGGGGGCAGAACCTTCGTATGCATACCAATACACAAGAGACTTTTTACTTAATTTAACCACTAATCGCAGTTGGCAATATAACTCAACTCAAACAGTTGGAAAATAACTAGAGAGAAAAAGAAACAGTTGCGAGCCTATCGCTGACTCGTTGAAGAACCGATTCGATCGAGTGCTCTCTGAGTTTCTTCTCTGAGTGTGACGGGCTGTGATTTTAGCAGCATGAATGTCTCTATCGCTATCTACAAAATGATATAAATAAAATTTTTCAGAAGAATAGATTTTCAACATTAAATCACGAAAGTGAGAAGAGTATATTGGGTTCGCTGTATGTTCTTACATATACAGTGAGTAACATTAATATTCGGTTATTTCTATTTTTTAAAACATGTAATATTAATTGAAATTAAACCAGAAAAAAAGTTGACAAATAAGAAAACCGAATATTAATGTTACTCACTGTATATACATACATACATATATCGCTTATCTTATCTTGATTAGAAAATGTATAAATACGATCGACTAAGAACAGTCTTTAAATAGCCAATGTAGTCGGATTACTACAAATTGATAAGTCAGAAACAAAGATTTCGTAATGTTTCCTAATGACTAAGAATGTATAGAATATCACCTCTAGCGCAGAGTATTTGCTGTCACTCTGGCTCTATGAATTACAGTAATAAGTAAACAGCAAACCCTATTTAGACTGAAGTTTAACTGTATATGTATTCAATATCCGTTGCAGCTTTCTGAAATCGGAGACACTCATTCGATTGCATTTGTAAACAGCTGAATAAATATATAGAGAAAGTGCATAAGCATAGGAAACTTTTCGATCTCAATCAGTTGCAGCTAGAAACTTCAGAGTGCAACATGTCTAAGGTACTCGTGATGGCTCTATTGGTATTAGTGCAAGCTATCTGTTTGCTGGCAGGTAAGTGCGGATGGACTTGAAAGTTACGAAAAATTATTTAAAATCATTTTATTTATTCATTTAAAGATAATGCAAGGCTCAAGAGACTCATCAAAAATATCAGAATGCAATTATTTAATCTGATTGAGGATTTACGTAATAATTAATTGGATAATGGAAATATTATATTATATATTTTTATTTATATGTGGGCAATAATTAAATATTTTAGTTAAATATGAAAAAAAGTGTAAAGTCTTGTTAGTCTTTCATTTATTGTCGATGTCCTATTTGCTATTGTGGTGCAGTTAATTTATATATATATTTAGTTTCATATATTATATAGTTGACCCGATTAGCTGATAATAGTGATAGCCAGCTGAGTCACAATAGAGAAAACGAAAATATTTCACAATCTTATCGCAAAATGTGATAAGCCAGAACTGAACGTTGGTTTAGGCAATACTTGAGTGTGCTCTACGCATAGATCTTGGCCAGCACCAGGGCCAAGCCTGCGGCCACGATGGTGTAGTGGCTGCGGCTCAGTGCGCCAGCTGGATTCTTGTTGCACTTGTCTCCGGAGCAGACCTTACACTGCGCCCGCCTCCAGCTGGAATACTGCGGCTTGAGGTATAAATTACAGGCATTCACGTCGGGATGCACGCACCCATGCAGCTGGTGCGTCACGGTGTTATCTAGAGAAGTGCACAGCGATATTATGTTGAGCAATTGGTCAAAGAGAACCATCACAGCTACTTACTATTCTGATACGTGTACTTGAGGGCAAGGCAATCATATCTATACATAGGTACCCAACGCACATTCTGATGATAGACGCCCAAGTGATGGCTCGTCTCATTGGCTGCGGCTACGGTGCAAGTCGTTTTTCGCGCTTTCTTGCAATCATTCGCATTTAGGCATGTGTAACACGTCAGGGAGCTAACTACAATTTTAAAATAACTTTCATTAAGTACTACCGGCATACGGCCAATGGTCAATCAATTGAACTCACCCAGCTGCACACAGGTTATAGCAATTAGCACACTGACAAGAAACCTTTTCGTCAACATTCTGATATTTCCCTTTTGGCAAAGTGTCGATGATCACTGTTCAGCAGTAAGTGAATCGTTTGCTTTAATGCCCTAACGCTTTATACTCCACCGTTAACTCACAATCAAAATTGGCTTATCTTCATACTGTGAGAGAGATTTCCAGTCGGGCTATGCCAACTGCTCGATACTCGTTTACCGTTCATACACAGATAATATTTATTATCTGATTGCAAAACTAAAAGTCATACTTTTTTTTGGATTTGCCGAGTTTCCAGTGCGTTTATACTTAGAGGAGGCCAAGCTTAACTCAAAACTGCAAAATTTTGGGGGTTACGTTCCAAAACTGTGAAAATTACTGGCTAAATTACGATATACCACAATCTCAGAAACGAGTAAAAATTTGTTTTGGCCTTCGACAGGGAGGATAAAAAATTAACTGAATTATCGTATATTTGTATACCTTTAACTCTAAAAACGTTCATCTTCGATTAAAAAATTTCAAAGAAATCGAAGGTTATTTTCATATTTTCTCTTGAAAATCAGTTAAGCAATGTTATGTAAAAGGCGACTCCTACAAAGAGGTAGAAATTTGGAGTATAGATTCATGTTTTTTTGGTAGACTTTCAATTTTAACAATAGAAACTCTGGTGGTAAGAGTTCTAGCGATTGCTCAACTGGGAAAAAACTAAAGTCCAGTGAAGAACTTATGAATATCTGTTATGTTATATACAAATAAGAAATAATAAATTTCAAATGAGGGTATTTGCTGAAATTCGCGTCTTCAGTATTTAAAGTAAGGTTCTCTCAAAGATTAGAAAATTATTGTTTTCAATACCTGAAGCACCAAATCTGAAATCTCTAGCTAAAGTAACGTTAATAAACAAAGTCGAACTATCGATTTAAATCGATCATTTGAAAATGGTAAGAGTAATCGAGAAATAGATAATCGCCTAGTGCGTATGGAATGCATCACTATATACTCTGTAGTATCTGACTTAAGAAATCTTCTTTCAGTTCAATGCTAAAATAAAGTTCACTTTTGCAGTACAGTGTTTGTGTTCGTCAATAAATATGCAGCGTATGTCACACTGAGTCTTAGTACGATTGTGAGTCCCGTTGCGAAATGAACGCGATCCAAAGAAAAGATATTGAATTTGATCCCAATGACGTAAGCGATTTTAAAAAATACTATGTATTTGATGGAAATTAGTGAAAACTGATACACCATACAGAAACTTGGAAAAGGATCTTTCGGAGCGGTATACAAAGGCAAATATAAAGGCAAAGATGTTGCCATAAAAAAAATCTCGTCTAATATCGAGCACGGGAATATACAACGCGAACCCTTCTACATGTCTATGGTCCGTGACCATGCCAACTTCGTTAAATTATACGCAATGGTCATGGAGAGAACCGAAACTCTTTTGGTTATGGAGTACATATCCGGTGGAAGCTTATATGATTTTCTACACAAGACAGAAGAAGAATTAACGTACTCCAATGCCATTAATTTGTTGTGTCAAGCAGCTGAGGTATGTTGTCTACATATACATATATACATATATAGACATGATTCATATTCCATTTGTAGGCATTGGCTTATCTCCATGCAATGTCAGAGCGACCTGTTATTCATCGTGATGTCAAGAGTCTGAATATGTTGGTGGACGCCGAGCGAAAAAACTTAAAAATTTGCGATTTCGGTTTTGTAAGGCAGTCGAGAACTGAAATGACTGAGGCACGAGGTACTCTCATTTATATGGCGCCTGAAGTACGTGGACACACATATCTATGTTAGCTTAACACTCATTTGATTTCATTCAGGTTTTCAAAGGCAAAATATACACTGACAAATGTGATGTGTATAGCATGGGCATTACAATTTGGGAAGTTCTGGCACGTCAGATTCCTTACTGCACTGTTGAATATGAAGTCGTACTTTACTTACTTAAACAAATCGCCGACGGTAATCCAATATTATTTATATACACCATATATTTGTATACCCTGAACCCATTGAAAATGTGAAATCAGAGTATAATGGTTTTGTTGGAATGTATGTAACAGGGAGAAGGAGGCGTGGCAGACCCCACAAAGTATATATATTCTTGATCAGGGCGACAAGCTGAGTCGATTTGGCCCTGTCCGTATGTTTGTCTGCATGTTTGAACGCGTCGATCTCAGAAGATATAAGAGCTAGAGACTTCAAATTTGTTTTTAAAGGTCCGTATAGCGCGGATATCGATATCCTGTTGTTTTGTTAGCGAGAAAAAACCTTCTCGAAATTCAGTTATAAAATTATATCTCCTACATTAAGATGCATTTTATACAATTTAGATTCGAGTTGCTTGAAGGGTTCAGACGATCTCGTGGTCGAGCAGTCTCGACTAGAGCTTTCTTAATTGTTATATATGGATATATGTATACTGAGCATTGATATGGTTTATGCAGGTCTACGGCCCTCTCTGGATGATCTTAAATTTGATTGCCCGAATCAATTAAAAACTTTAATTCAACGCTGCTGGGATAAAGAGCCTGATGCTCGTCCCACCATGCAGGAGATTGTGGAAGAATTGCAAATGCATAAGAATGTTCAATAACATGAATAGTTCGATAATTATAATAATCTATGTATTCGATTATTATTATTATTGTTTAAATATTTTGGTTTATGTTATAAAATTATTTTCCACAGTAAATTAAGAATGCAGACCGATATGCAAGATAATATCGCTTGAATATCTTTATCAATCATTTAATAATTATCAATAATATTAGCCATAGATCTTACTTAGCATGAGAGTGCAGACTGTACCTACAATCGTATGGAGAGTTCCACCAATTTTGCGAGATGAATTTCTGTTGCAATTGTTGCCAGAGCAAACGATACACCTCGTCCTGTTCCAGTCGCTGACCTCGGGCTTCAGCTGCAGCGCACAGACGTCGAGATCGGGGTGAACACAGCCAAAGAGATGATAGTCCACTGAAGTGTCTAGCATTCGATATATTTATAATGTGGTAATACTTCCAACGAGTAAGTTTACTCACTTCTCATATAGACATACTTCAGAGCGAGGCAGTTGAAGCGACTGCTGTTTAGCTCAAGCACATTCTGATGATATGTGGCCAAATACTGGCTCGTCACATTGGCAGATTTATTGGTGCACTGGACTACCTTTGCGTACCTGCAGCTGGCTGGACTAACGCAGTTGCGACAGACCAAGCAGTTGACTGCAATGGGAAAGTTCTTGGATTTACAACACTGAAATGGAATCTCTTCCAGTGCAACTCACCCAACTGCACAGAAATCGAGCAGATTAGGAAACTCATCCAATATATATTCTTCATTCTGAATGTTTAACAACTTTCCTTGACGAAGCTGCGTTTACAACTGATTTGCGTTAGCCCAGGAATATGTGCTTTTATATAAGCAGCTCTCGATACAAACAGCTGTCATGCCTAATTGTAGAGTTTGAAGTCAATCTTAAAAGAGGCGACTCACTCGCTGTCAATTGCATCAATTAGTCAGCAATTGCTGAGCTTTCAAGTCAGACTTTGTAAATACTTTTACTAAACTACAGAACAAATAAAATAAAAATATATTTAAAAAAAAAAAAAAACACTAAATAAATAATCTAAAAAATGTAAGACTCTTGCTTAATGGTATGCGAAAATTTTAGAAACAGAGGCAGTTGTGGCTGATTCTACACAGAGGTCCTGATCAGGATGGCGAGCCAGTCTAGCCATAAAAGAATTCATAGATACCGTCCGTTAGCAATTTTGTCAAACACAATATTTCTTCTTCACTAGCATAGCATAAGCAGTAGAAATTTATGTTTTATATTAAATAGTTATTTTAATTCATTATTATTAAAACCTTTGTATTAATTTAATTTTGTTTTGTGTAGATCTTTATAAGATTTAGGGTTTTGAATGCATTCCTCTCATTGGCGGATCAGCTGTCATAGCAGTAGTATCTTCTGAAGATCTTATGGATTTCGTATTGTTTACATATAAATATATGGATGGCCCAGTATACACAAACCATTATCAATGGGTTTAGTGTAAATGCACATCTTACAAATTCATATGATATCCTGAACCCATTGAAAATGGGATATCGAGGATAATTTGTATACGTTTATATTTATGTATACAAACTGGGTGTACACTTATTATTTGGGATTAAGGGGTTCTCTTGGTTCGGTCCTTTGAATAATTTAATTTTTATTTTAAAATTTCCTTATTTGAATATTTTGGCTAGGATCAGGAGCAAAGCTGAAGACATGATGGTAAAGCTGCTCTTGCTAAGAGTTCCCGCCGGATTGCGGTGATTACAATTGTCGTTGCCACACGTGTAACAGGACTTTTCCCAGTCATAGCTGTTATTCGCGTTCCGGAATAAATAACAAACTGATATAGAACTGAAGTAACAACCCAGAATCTCTTGGGTTTTGACGTTGTCTGCGAAAAGAAATGCGGATATTAACTATAATCAAGCACTACAGAACTAATTCCTCATATTGGCTAATTACTTTGGGGGTAGTAATATGTTAGATTCAGGCACTTGAAGTTATTGCCCACGGTTCTTGGAACATTACTGTGAAGCCTTCTCAGCCAAGCGCTGGTCGTGTTGGCAGTGTTGACGTCGCAGTACTGTGAGGTGGGCGAACGACAGGAGCTCGGCGAATCGCAGGTGTAGCAATACAGACCGTTAACTGCAGATGTAATATAGAATAAAATTGCCGAAGCACACACGGTTCATTTTCAACTTTTCTCACCCGTTTGCAGGCCCAAAAAGGCCGCCAGCACTAGAGCACAAATGAACTTCTTCCACATTTTAGTTCCCACTGCTGAATAAACGAACTTTTCACCAACTCAACTATTTTAACACTAAATGTTTAGATATTCACATTGCTTAACTCGACCGATAAGATAAGAAAGCAAATCAGTTTTTTTTTTATGGGCTGGGCTTGGTTGTGTCAACCAAAGGGGATGTCCACCTTATCACCGACCAAAGCACTGCTTCATAGTTATTAACACGCTATTTATCGCAAATAGGTTGTATAATTGTTGTATTCCTGTTTATCTATAATGGAGGTCAACAATAACTCATTTATATTGTATTCAATATCATTGTAAAGGCTCTTGCACATGGCAACAATATTATAAAAAGTTTTATCTACAATCCTCAATTAGACTGTTTGAAATTATGCTCAATATACATGATGAACTAGTATAGGGATTGGAGAACTAAGATTGTACCCTTCCTATGCGCAATGGTAAATCGTATTCACGACATGCCTACTTCAAAGATGACAATTCGAAATAAAAATAATGAATACACAGATTATGTATATTTCAATTTGTAATTCTCTTCTTTAATCTAATATCGATTTACAAGATTTCGCTACAGCTTTTTTTTAGAAGGCTAATTTGGCGATGATCAGAGCGACTGTAATGGTATAGAAGCTCTTGCTGAAAGTTCCGGCTGGATTGCGATTGCACTTGTCTTTGTTGCAGCTCTGGCAACCTTTCTTCCAGGTATCGCTGATGGATGCGTTTAGCGGTAAGATGCAAACAGGAATGTCGGGGTGATAACAGCCCAGATATTCATGGATCTTGGAGTTGTCTGCGAATGCCAAATGGAAGAAACAAATGAAAAACACAAACAAATCCTACATTAACTGAGAACTAACTGCTTTCAAAATAGTATGTGAGGTTCATGCACAAAAAGCTTCCACTACTCTCTACGACGGGTACAAACTTGTGTATGGTGTTCAGCCAGGCGGTGGTCTCATCGGCTGTTCTATCGGAGCAGACCTGGGTGCTGGGATTGACGCAGCTACTAGGTGAAGTGCAGCTATAGCAAGTCAGGCCGCTCACTGAAAGAGTGTATATTGTTTATGCGAATCATTCGTTGCAGATGGAATTTGTTCTAAGATCTCACCAATCTGCAAACTTACGGTCGCTAGCATTAAACCAAAAATGTACCTATTCCACATCTTGTTTAGTAAAACTTCCAACTAGTAATAGTTCTGAATCATTTCAACTGATATGTGTTTAATGTACTGCACACGCAGGTAATAAAGATTAGATTTAGTTATTCCGAATTCTATAGATTGTACACACACTATCGCCCCCTTTTATCACATATATTATCAACAGCGAATCGAAAATGTTTCATGCAATTCTCTACAGACTTACACGACAAATGCTCATATATTTACCATATTTATATTTGTCTCTTGAATGGTGCCTATCGATAGATATAACTAATGTCTATTATATACTATTAAAAATTGTGCACAAATTAATGAAATAATGATAATATTATTCCTACTCTATATCGTGTTAAACAAGATCATAAATATATTTTTATTTACGATATTCAACCAGTCAAAGGAATAAATATATACATATGTATATATATTGTTTTAGTTCTTGGAAATATATCAATGTATTGGAATTTTTATGTTATCATTTGAATATTTTAATATAATGAACGATATGCATTTTGATTTGATTGTAATATATTATATGGTTATATCAACATATCTTGATCCTACTACATCAAATTTTTCAAATTTTTGGAAAATGGAATGCAAAACCCATAAAATATAAAATACTTTGATTTCAATTTTTAAAAATCATTGAAAATTTAAAAATATCGAACATTTTCGTAATTCGTAATTCCTATCATATGGATAGTACAAATTGAATAGGCAGATACATTTACTAGCAAAACAACAAAACTAGAGAAAAAGAAAATGGATATATGTATATTAAAATTGAACGATTGCAAATTGCAAACACGTTTTAATGTCTAAAACCCAATGCCAAGTATTTGCCATAGCAAATAAACAAAAGTCGAAATACCTAAAGTACGAACGAGGGGCAATGTTTCAAAAATTGAAGAGCATATATCAGGAGCCTGGACATGTCACGCATAACTAAATACAAAGCAGAGGGAGAGCCACAGAAACAGTTGCAGGATATGAAAGCAAAAAATACAAAAAGAAGCAGCAGCATAAGCTTCTGCCAAGGATACGGCGAGGATATTAAATGACAGGACAAATGGCACGCTGAGCTGAGTAGCCGAGCAGGTTTCTCGAAGGTAAACGAAATGCGCAAATCCTGTGAACAATACCAGGAGACAACAAACAACAAATAGCTGGGGGTTAGATTTATAAACACACATATATATATATATATGTATATGTATATGTATGCGTGTGTGTATGTGGGACAATAGGTAAACAAGAGAATTACAATATGCTTTTTTAAAAATTAGAAAAACAACGTGCAATAGCCAAGGCAAATGGTGAGGCATGCCACTCGCCTGACAGGACAATAATATTGTGATAGAGGCAGAGGCAGAAGCAGGGTCAGGTGCAGGAGGGGTTCAACTGGTCTGGCCCCATAGCTGGGCCAGCAGCCCGAAAGATAAACACAAGCCACACAGACATCGAAGGGTCGTGGCGGTGCTCTTCGGGTGTGGGGTCGGTGCTGTTCGGGTGTGGGGTCGGGGCTGTGCGAGGTGCGAGGTGCGCTTCACAATTGTGGCAAAAGTCGCTGGGGCGCCTTTTCGCCTTGCGGCTGACAGTTGAGTTGTATTTTTTGTAGGTTCTTTTGGTTTTTGTTTTTGGTGGGCGTGGCAGCGACACGTTGCAACACAAAACCGAGTGCTATGAGAGGCTTTTCTTATTGTGCTGCGCAACGAGACAACTGAATGGCTTGTGCATTGCATTAATGTTCTGGTCACGTATCCTTTTTAATCCTGACAAGAATATTATTTCCATAAAAAATGGCACGCAGCTAGCTGCGCGCGCTGCCACAACCAACTCGTTGCAGGGCATCAAGCATACGCCACGTATGCCGCAACCGAATCATAGACACGACACCAGCGGCAGCAGGCAGCAGGCAGCCAACAACGACATATGTATCTAATTTTATTATACAGACACCCACATATATACAAATACATACACACACACACACATACATACAACATAACGGTAAGCGACTTAAGGGCTGAAGTTTTATGTTCTTGTTGGTATTTATATTTATAAAAATTTATCAAAAACTTATATACTATTAACACAAGAGTAGGACGCACTGTGCACTAGCATTCCTTTACTGATAATTGTATTTGTGTCATAGCAACTTGGGAGAGACAATAGAAACAATGTTGTTCCTTGGTTTGGCTTAATATCGAAGTCTGTTCGGGTTTTAAGCCAGTCAATTATCGAAAGTCTATATGAATAAATTATAGTTATCTATCCACACTTTCTTTCAAATTCATACCTATTAAAATCACTTCATCCACAGTCTCCTACAGCCATAGAAAAATGGAAACATTTGGGATTCGTTCACAAGGTCCATCAGTTTGTTCGTCATTTCAGCGATAATGAATTTCTCATCTGTCTGTACTTTCCGGTTAGTTAATATAGTACTTTAAACAATTTGCTTATTGTTATAAAAAACAGATTGAAAATAAATTAAAAAAAAAAAAAAAAATTTTTTTTTCAATTAGATTAATATTTAACAAAGCATATTCCTTATATGAATATTTTGGCTAAGAACAGGAGCAAAGCTGGAGACATGATGGTAAAGCTGCTCTTGCTAAGAGTTCACGTCGGATTACAATTGTCGTAGGTACACGTGGAACAGATCTTAGCCCAGTTATAGCTGTTGGTCGCGTTCAGACTAAGATAACAAACTGGTATAGAACTATAGTAGCAACCCAGAATCTCTTGGGTTTTGACGTTGTCTGCGAAAAGAAATGCGGATATTAACTATAATCAAGCACTACAGAACTAATTCCTCATATTGGCTAATTACTTTGGGGGTAGTAATATGTTAGATTCAGGCACTTGAAGTTATTGCCCACGGTTCTTGGAACATTACTGTGAAGCCTTCTCAGCCAAGCGCTGGTCGTGTTGGCAGTGTTGACGTCGCAGTACTGTGAGGTGGGCGAACGACAGGAGCTCGGCGAATCGCAGGTGTAGCAATACAGACCGTTAACTGCAGATGTAATATAGAATAAAATTGCCGAAGCACACACGGCTCAATTTCTGCTTTTCTCATCCGTCTGCAGGCCCAAAAAGGCCGCCAGCACTAGAGCACAAATAAACTTCTTCCACATTTTGTTTTCAACTGCTAACTAATCAGAAATAAAACACGTTTAACACTAAATAGCTATATATGCACAATGCTTTACTCTGATAAGATAAGCAAACTAATCTATTTTGTTTATGTGCTTGCATTGTTCAGTCAGCCTGAGAGGTGATGTGCATTTTATCAGCACTATAGACTATATATGTATATATATTGAGTCATGTTAATTAATAGAATTTTTGATTTGCAGCATAATAGGTATAGGCAGCATTTCGTTTCATTTGACTGAATTCAGTTCAATTGTGAAGTCTGATCCGAAATGGCTGCGAATAAATATTATGAAATTGATTTTGATGGAACTCGACGCCGCATAGATCTGATCCATATGAATGAAATTCAATTCGGTGCAGTAAGCTGTCATAATAAGTGTAATGTTAAATAATGGAATTGCAAAAAGAAAAAAAAATGTATACTTATCTACTGTATAGATACTTGGAAAAGGAACTTTTGGAGAGGTCTACAAAGGCAAATATTCTGGCAGAGATGTTGCCATCAAGAAAATCGAGATGGATATGGTAAACAAGAAAGATGTGGACCGTGAACTCTTCTACTTGAATATGGTAAAAGGCCACGCTCTCTTCGTAGAATTATATGGACTTATAATAGAGGCAACAGCAATTCATTTGGTTATGGAGTACGTTGCAGGTGGCAGCTTAGAACACTTTCTACACAACACAAAGGAAGAATTAATGTACTCGCAAGCCATTAATTTGTTGCGTCAAGCAGCTGAGGCGCTTGCTTGTCTTCACTCACTGAAAATTATTCATCGTGATGTGAAGAGTCAGAATATGTTGGTAGATGCCGAACGAAGAAACTTAAAGATTTGCGATTTCGGTTTTGCTAGGGCGGTGAGATCGAACATGACTAAAGGAAAAGGCACTCCGGTATATATGGCACCCGAGGTACATATACACATGGATATAAATATATATGTATATAGTCAAGCTAATTACTTAAACTCATTCGATTTTATGCAGCTTGCCAAGACTGGCAAGTACGCTGCTAAATGTGATGTGTACAGCATGGGCATTACGATTTGGGAAATTCTGGCGCGTAAGAGGCCTTACTACTTTCTGGGCGACATCTCAATTAATGAGTTCAATGAACAAATCGACAAAGGTAATTCATTGTCAATTATATATATCAGATATTTCTATATATTGAGCATTTGTCTCTCTTATGCAGGTCTACGGCCCTCTCTGGATGATCTTGAATTTGATTGTCCGGATGAATTAAAAACCTTAATTCAAAGCTGCTGGGATAAAGACGCTGATGCTCGTCCCACCATGCAGGAGGTTGTGAAAGAATTGCAAAAGTAATTGCTGACTGCTGTTCACCAGGTCACCAGCATATCCATATGCTTGCCTCTAATTATGCCCTTAACTAACATTTAAAAGGCCCGCTGCTATACATATGTACATATATATTCATTTTTTGTATATGTTATTCACCAATTATAGCTAAATTAAATTAATCTTCAGTGTTCGCATGTCCAATCGATCAATGTGCATACCAAATGGGGAGCACATTCACTAGATAACAGCTGCTGTTACAACTCAAGCAACTGGCCAACTGACCAACAGGCTAACCAACCATTCATCAGTCTCTGTACTTTGCGACACTCGGGCGAACAAGTTTTAACTATCGTAATTGGCCCGGAGAAGAGCTTAAAGCCAAATATATACACACACAGCATGCAACGAAACTGACGAGAGTTTTCCAGCAAAATAATTGAAAGCAAAAATTTCTACGACAGGTCCAGTGAAGCACCAATAGAATCACTACTAAAAATATGAATATTTCGTATACCAAAACAAATCTACCACTAGTTCTTCTACTCTTTGTGTCTCATCTAACCGTGCCTTTGCAGGCATTCTCGAAATTCCTGAGTCCTGACAACATCTCATCCAGTTTTCCTCTTCTCCCTTCAGTTTTCTAACCCCGTCACAATGCTAGTAACTGTCGATTCGATAAATGCTAACCTGCCGGTACTCAGTTCGCACTTCTATTTTCCATCTTGTCTTGTGTTAAAGAGGTTCCTATGTGCGTGTGTGTCGGGGAGCATGTCCAATGACTTGGCTCATTGCAATTTTGCACGTGAACTTGTTAAGAGCAAACAACACGTGGGCAAGTCATGAAATTCAAATCGAACACTTATTGTCAGTCTCCAAAAAAGAAACAATGAAACAGGATACCAAAATAATCGATACACAACAAAAATAATGAAAATGGCATCGTACATATAAATATATATAGTACCCTAATGTATAGTACACAATTTTGAAATGATTACACAATTTTCGTAAGACATATATAAAATATTAGCTCCAGTTATAGACAGCCGGATGTGGCTAGATCATCACAGTATACCCCGATTTCTCATTTTCAATGGGTTAACAGCAGAATACAAATAAATTAATTTCAAAGTAAATTCAATTCTTATAAGCTACACTCAATGAAACATAGAAAGCTATTTGATTTTACCCGGACAGCAATTCGTACATTGCGTAAGATCATTATACTCCTTTTATGTACTAATGTTGTTTAACAAGTAAAATGATGATAGCTGCAAATCCGAAACACATTTCAGAAAATACTTTTTTAAATTGCGCGCCCTGTTGCGAGTGCCATAGCAACGAACTTGTTACATGCTCACAATAGTACTGCCCATCAGCTTTATGTAATTTTTTGAAACGATACCAATGCTGCCCATAAGTATTTATCGATTGTTGAATGTTATTTTTTTTTAATTTCGCGCTAACCAGAAAATTTGTAATTATTTGATAGGTTTAATTTGAATTTATTGGAAACAAGTTATATGCCACTTATGGAAACAATCCAATCCCTGACTGCCGACACTTTGGAGTAAACGCCAGGATATTGTGGCTTCGCACAGCCAAATCCCCAGGAGACAACGCCCCATAATTTGCCATTGACGGCCAGGGGACCGCCAGAGTCCCCTTGACAGGCATCCTTGCCACCTTCGGTGAGACCCGCGCATAGCATACGGTCCGTAATGTTGCCAAAATGCTCATAGGCTAATGTGCATTTGGTCTGATTCACCGTGGGCACGGTGACAGCTCGCAGCACATCTGACGATTCCTCGGCATTTTGGGTATTGCCCCAGCCGGTAATTGTAACCAATGTGCCATCTGGAAGATCCTCATTCTGTTCAGGCAGCTGGGCAAATGTCTGGGTGACGTTTGTGCTATTATAGGGCGCTAGCTCTAGCAGGGCGTAGTCATAGTCGATTATTCGTGAATTGTAATCGGGATGACGATGAATACGCCGTATGTTGACGATCAGGCCATCCTTCTCCTTGCGCGTGGCACCGACCCGCACCGTCAAGGACTCCACACTAGCTCTCTCCACACAATGGGCGGCTGTCAGTGCCCAGCCGACGCCAATCAATGAGCCGCCGCACATATGAAAGCTACGCTGCAGTGAAATTTGATACGGGTAATCCTTAATAGACACCTGAACGCCGCCCACAATGCGTCCATCCTGTCGCAGGCTGGGCACAGCCGGCACAGTTAGGCAGCCAACGCAGGTGAATAGTAACAGCGGCAGGAGCAGCGTATTCCAACTTAGCGACATGCTCGATTCCGAGTGGATAAGCGTTATGTTAGCTCAGCGGTTATTAGGAATGCTTATATAGACGCCGACTAACGGGTTATCAATCTATCAAGCTCATTTTTGAGGGTCAATCATCGTAGCTGCGTAGCGAAGGTATCCACTTGGCCTAGTTAATCCGTCGCCGATACTCATAAAATTTTATGGCCCATAGACGATGATATCGACGTCATCGAGAATGTTATCTAAGCCCAATTCTATTGTTTGAAAAAGACAATTCAGGGTCTTGTTTTTTCTTGAAAATTGTGCCAAATATATATAAATTGGCAATAAAGAGTAATGAAAATAGTAATATAAATTTTACTGTATGTACATATATCAGAGCAACAACTCGCACATATATAGATATTGTAGTCCATTGTAATATTGCAATCGTGTTCTCTTTAAATAGATGTTATAGCATACGCACAGTTTATACAAATATATTTGATATTGAGAAAGACTCTATTACTAAACTACTAGAATAATCAGGATATAACCAACAACAAGGGCTTATAGGCTGGACTCTATAGTACGATATAGAAAACGTTAAGTTTATATAAATACCTTTTGAGATACTGCAAAATTATACCGGTGATTCATCAGATTGTTCAGCTATCTCAACTTCTGGTTTGTGTTTCCTCTAAAATTACATATATCCCGATTGTATTGCACTTCCTTATAGAAAGATTACGAAGTATATGCGATAAATCCATTTTCTTATCTCTATGCCAAGAAGTTTTGTTACAGATTTGCCACTAAGATGCGTTGGTTTGTGTGGGATCAATGGGAATAGCCGCCAAACATTACAAAATATCAGGGAAGAAAGCGAGCGCCGTATATGTAGAGAATACTCTAGCGTACGCTGCAATGGCTCACTTTTACAGCTTTAGCCAGGTCAAGAACTTATTGTTGGACGGCATATCGGTGACTCGTTCCAGCCGCAAGCCATTCAAATCGGCCAACTGCTTCAGATCTCTGATATCCCGTATGCCCCACTCACTATTTCGACTTCTCAAGTTCGCATCGAAGTCAACATTGCTTTGAGGCGTCAATAGGCCGTCCAGGGCATAGGGTCCATAAGTGAAGAGTTTGCCGCCCGGTTTCAGCAGCTGCCCAGCAGCACGAAATAGTCCCTCCGAACAGTTCCATGGCGTAATGTGCATCATATTGCAGTTCAACATATAGTCATAGCTGGCGAGCTTTAGCTGCGCCTTCGTGCCTTCCTCCCATTGCTGCAGATCCTGCGAAATGTCCACAAAGAGTGGCGGACAGATATTACCAGTTGCGCAATCGGCGGCATATGCTTTAATGGAACTGAAATCTCTGCGCTCATATTCCGTTGTTTGAAAACTGATGTTCGGTAGGAGAGGGGCCAAATAACCGGCATGCTGTCCCGAACCGGAGGCAATCTCCAGCAATCGTAGATTTGGTGTACTCTTATCCACCTGCTGCAGCAAGGCCTCCGATATGGGCTGAGAATTCCGATCTGCCGAAGGATGTGTGCGCTTTATAGCGCTGTGGAGCGTCGTCACATGAAACAAACATCGAAAGTGTTTTGTCAGACTGTGTGCGATGTTTACTGCATAAATAAGTTCTTGGTTTAATTGCGATTCCAGCGAATATTTTACCTCATATTTGTAACTGGTGATTATCAATTTATTCCCAAATCCACTTACGTATTTGCTCTCAAATGGCTTTATTACTTTTACTTTCTTGGCGCTGCTCGGCTACGAACTTATCGATATACCAGGGCTGCCGTAATGCCGAGACGATACACGACAGTGAGCTAATCCTTTATGGATTATTATATAATAAATTTATTTTCAAAAATAAATATTGTCATAATATTGTAGCAAATAAATTAAATAATATTTATATAATTTTATGAACAAAATATATTTAGTATTTTATTCATACGTGGTCGGCCATTATATATCGGACGCATACCGATATGTGCAAAATGTCTTATATGGCAGTGCTGTTTTATCGCCTTGCCGCCACATTCGGGAGTGAAACAAATTTTTGTCAGTTTTAATTAGGCATTGTTTTTCTTGAATCAATTGTTGCACCTTAGGAAACTGCACAATGTCTGATAACGATGATGATTTTATGTGTGACGATGATGAAGACTATGGCCTGGTAAGAATTGCCACATTTCACAATATTTGAAATTGTATCTACGGCATATCTCAACACCCGGCGTCGCCTGCATGGTTTACTCTTTGCGGGCTACATTTTAGGAATACTCGGAGGATAGCAACTCAGAACCGGACGTAGATCTAGAGAATCAATACTACAACAGCAAGGCACTCAAGGAAATGGAGCCCACAGCGGCGCTAGCCAGTTTCCAAAAAGTGCTCGATCTGGAGAACGGCGAGAAGGGCGAATGGGGCTTCAAGGCGCTGAAGCAAATGATTAAAATCAACTTTAGTCTGGTGAGCCTGAAGTGGGCTGGAAAATAGAATATTTATGAACTATGCTCTTTTCTCCCCTTATGTGTAGAGCAACTACAAGGAAATGATGGTGCGCTACAAGCAGCTGCTTACCTACATCAAAAGCGCCGTCACACGCAATCACTCCGAGAAGAGCATCAATTCCATACTAGATTACATATCGACGTCCAAGAATGTAAGTAGGAGAGGTCTCTTACCACGATAAATGCTGGCCCTAACAGGTTTAACATCTTATTTGTACTTTCATATGTATATTAACTATTCTTATACAAAAGTAGTTTCATTTGCAATGACTTTGATAGAGGATATTATAGAGGATTAAATTTTTGTTTATGAGCAAATTGCGATACAGGTCCTTACAGATAGACACCCTATATATAAGCAAAGTCATGTGTTTTATATATTCAATATTAAAAAATGTTCCAAATATTTTTCAATATGGAATATAGGCAAAATGTATCTATATATCGTTGTGGATTTTCCAAATAGAAAGTACAAAGATCGATAGTAAATAAATGGATTGTGTTTACTAGAGCCTAAACTAACTGCAAGATATGAATAAAAAATAATTAATAATAATAATAATATGAATTATCCTAGTATATAGCAAAACTAATTTAATTATTTTAAAGAAATTAACTTTAAATTATGTTTTCAGATGGAATTGCTACAGAATTTCTATGAGACCACTTTGGATGCATTGCGCGATGCCAAAAACGATCGTTTGTGGTTCAAGACGAACACGAAACTGGGCAAATTGTACTTTGATCGCAACGATTTCACCAAATTGCAAAAGATACTCAAGCAGTTGCACTCGAGCTGCCAGACAGACGATGGCGAGGATGATCTGAAGAAGGGCACCCAGCTTCTAGAAATTTATGCGTTGGAAATCCAAATGTATACGGTGCAGAAGAATAATAAGAAATTGAAGGCCCTCTATGAGCAATCATTGCACATTAAATCGGCAATACCTCATCCACTGATAATGGGCGTAATACGTGAATGCGGCGGAAAAATGCATTTGCGTGAAGGCGAGTTCGAGAAGGCGCACACCGATTTCTTTGAGGCATTCAAGAACTACGATGAGAGCGGATCGCCCAGACGCACAACCTGCCTGAAATACTTGGTGCTGGCCAATATGTGAGTGAGAGTGCGATTAAATTGAGAATAATCATATTCAATTAATTGATCCTATTGTCTCTGACAGGCTAATGAAGTCCGGCATTAATCCATTTGACTCGCAGGAGGCCAAACCGTATAAGAACGATCCCGAAATATTGGCTATGACAAATTTGGTTAACTCATACCAAAACAATGATATCAACGAGTTTGAGACTATATTGCGCCAGCATCGCAGCAACATAATGGCCGATCAGTTTATACGCGAGCATATTGAGGATTTGCTGCGCAATATACGCACCCAGGTGCTCATTAAACTGATCCGACCCTATAAGAATATAGCCATACCGTTCATAGCCAATGCACTCAACATTGAGCCGGCTGAAGTGGAAAGCCTGCTCGTATCCTGCATACTGGATGAGTACGTTGACTCAACGAACATACCGATATTATTACTATATAACTCAATCAAACATTATACTTTGCAGCACCATCAAAGGGCGGATCGATCAGGTAAATCAGGTGTTGCAGCTGGACAAGGTCAATAGCAGCGCTGCTCGATACAATGCACTGGAGAAATGGTCCAATCAAATTCAATCACTGCAATTCGCTGTAGTACAGAAAATGGCTTAGACATAAGGCAACGATTAAAATCTAATGGAAATTCTGAAAAATTTCAAATCAAATATAGTCTTCTTACTAAAACCTTAGCACAGAGCATGAAACAACGCCTCTATATATAAATGAAATACACCAATGTTAAGGGCTTTCAAGATAAAGCTGCGATAAGCAGAGGTTGTTCTGTCATAAATATGTATGGCCGATAAGCAATTGTATATTTCCATGACTCGAATGAAAAAATTAACAAATATTCAGAGACTGAGCGAAACCGATTTCTAAAGTAAAGGAAATATGGGAACGTCGGCCTGATTGCTGCTCTTGGCACTTTGGGGGCGTGGCAGACCATATATGTTGCATATTTAAAGCTTGTTGATCTCTCATTGCCTTGCAACATATATGATTTATTTACCAATTTGAGGACTGGCAAGAAAACCAGAGAACATTTAAATGATTGTGTTAAAGTTTTATATAAATATCAATATTTAAAAATAAAGAACCATAACTAAAGTTCAATCAACTAAATAAAAAAGAGAATTGCGGCATAGGTTCGTTTGTGCTCAAACTGTTTTCCCAAAATGAGCATAGGCAATAACAAATTAAAAAAAATACGAATCGAATTTAAACTTTAATCAAGCAGCTTCAGCGCCTGATGTGGGCGTCTGCCGCACTTCAATGGAAGAAGTTTTGCTACAGCGCTCATGCATCCACAATCTTAGTCTGTAGATCCAGAAGATGAGGACGCAAAAGAATAGCGCCAGCACAATGCAGCCACAAACGCTGCCAATGGCCAGGCCCGGCCTCTCCCAGTCCAGAATGAAATATATAAAGCGGTTACCAAAGCTGCAAATGCAATCGAATAAGAGAGGAATCAAAAGGGAAATCAAATAGCTCACAAATCGGTGCCGCCTGCCCAGAAATAGATGAGAGAGAAGAGGCCATAGACGAGGCCCGCCGCGAGCGGATAAATAAAGTGCATCAGGCGAGTGGGAAAGGCCACGACAAAGCAATCGAAGAGCATGCAAATTGAATTGAACGCATGCGCCCAAAGATTGTACAGTCCAACGGGACCCTCAGACATGCCTAAAAAGGGGTTGATTCATTAATAATAGCTTTTGAGCAGCATAACAAACACTTCAGTTGCTCACTGGGATAGAGCGCTGTCCAGAAAACCAACGTTATCAACAGGGCCAAAACTGTCGTCGTAAAATGGGAGCACCAGTATATCCTAAGAGCCCAGCTACCAGAGACTGAAATGAAGATATATTAAATATAACTAATTCCATATCTAACACTGAATCTAGCAAACCAAAATGAGAATTATGCCTGTGAATCTAGGCTATATATACATATACATCATATATTTTATTAAAATATATTTGACTTGAAATAGTAGGAATAATATAATTATAATATAAAATGAAAAGCCGACAGATGAATAAATATTTAATGAACAATTTGATTGTGACCTAACATATTGAAAGTTTATTTTTGAAAATCTAAATTTGAATATATGTATTAAACCTCTGAATACTAGGAAGCCTATAAATACTTTGAATGCTGAAAGTACTTGTGCACCTTTATAGTTATTATTATAGTTATTAATAAATGACTTGTAAAATTTAATTTTGTTTTATATTTGAAAATGAAAACATTTTCATACTTATTTATGGCTTGATGATTCAATTAAACCATCTTCCAGCTAGAGAATTATAAACAAATATGTGTAAGAGAGATTTGCTTACCAAAATAGCTAGGCCTTATAAAGTATATGGTGGCCAGAATGGCGCCATAGGCACAGGCATAGAAGCATAAGGAGAAGCCCCAATCGGTTAGATAGATGAACCATTTGCCCTCATTGAATTGATCGACCAGACTGCCAATGACACCAGCCGCAAAGAAGGCGGCCAGGAGCCAACGATAGATCAGCCAGATGAAACAGCGTTCGCCGCGCTGCCATTGGGAGCGACAGAAGTCGGCGGGCTGATCGTGGTACAGTGAAAACTTGGCACACTGAAACTCATCCACCAGTGGCTGGCAGCAGCAGGTTTGCTGGCTGGTATCACGCATCACGCCGGCCGGATGGACTCGATGTCTGCGTAGCTGGACAAGAGCTGCTAAGGCCGACCAGAGCAAATGGCTGACACGTCGGTAGAATGTCAACTGCCGCAGCCAGGGCCAGAGTCGGGCCAATAGGCCTGATAGTTTGACATTATTTCCGCAAATTGTTGTAGCCAAATGGCAATTCGAGTGTTAACTTATCAGCTGATGATTCTTATCAGCAGTTATGTCTGACTGGAAAGTACTTCCAGCCAATCTGTGTATATACCACCGATAGCTAACAAAATAGCCGTTTAGCCGCTATTATTGATGTTGGCCAACTACTCGGACTAACTTGGCTAACAGTCAGTGCGAGGCGCCAGGCCTGAGTACCTTCCCACGCTTCTCAGTAAAGCCCGACACGCGCTAAATGTGCTTTAAATTTTTTAACAGCTTTTTGTGAATTTCAAATCAAAATCAAAAGTAATTCCCCACTTGAATTTATCACCCTAAAAATAGGCATTTCTACAAAATCGTAATTGATTATCGCATGATGAACATGTAACTCACGTACTGAACCATTACCGATTATATGATTTCGTCAAATTTAAAAAAAAAAAAAGCACACACAAAACAAAAACAAATAGAGACCTTGAGTTTTAGATAAGATGACAACGCGGAACACTTTGTTAGTCAAACAAAACAAATTTATGATAATAATTTCGCAGTTCATTCATAACGCGTATGTTCACTAATTTAAGCCATTTTTTTTTATTTTTTTTTTTTATTCACCGGAAAATTTATTTATTAAAAACAAAAAAATTCAATGAAAAGAGTTAAAATTCTGTTGTTTTTGACAAACACACGAATGTAGGCGTATATCTTTACTTTAATATATATTTGTTATTTATTTTAAGCTTAAAATTATTATAGAGATAATTTACTTTTATTTTTCCATTAAAAATTCGATTCGATTAGAATTGTTATCTTCCTTGCTATCTATCATAATTTCTAATAGATTTTTCATACACGCAAATCAAAAATGGAAATTTACGCATTTCGCCTCGACTTGATTGCAACAGACATGCAATCTTATATCAAATACAGTTTTTATTTTTAAATGGAATGCGCTTTAGGTTCGGTTCGGCTTGAAAATTCAAATAAACAACTTTTAAATTATGCAATAGCACGAAGTGGCAGATATCAGTGCTAGATACAATCGATGATTGAAGACACTTTCAATTTCTAAATCAAAAGAAAACAATTTCTAAGTGCCTTCGAGTCAATGGCAAGGTCACCAAAGAGGGGCGTATAAATGGAACAAATAAAAGTGTAAATTTGTATGTATGTATGACACTTATAGTATATACAATATCTGCCTTATATATATGTATGTATGTAGTTTGGAATTTTCAACACCCAGCAATTTGTAATCGATGCCATGTTTATTAAACTGACCCTCAACTGATCAAATTACGTTTGCAAATTGAAATATCAGATCCAATCAACAAACAAATTTCTGGTGTAATATTTTGTATTATTTACTGAAAAATGCAGACAAGAAATGTGTGCATA